TATGGTAAGTATTAACTGATTTTCCGTCTGATCTGATAGGAAAATAAAGCTAATTTTTTCCTCTTAATCGATCTAAATGAAAATAGTCACAAAGATAATAAAGGTTCCTCCGTTAGCTGAATCAATTACTGAAGGCACAATTTCAAAGTGGAACAAAAGTATTTCACATTTTCGTGCTTTCTAAAATGTCAATACAGACATTTTTCTATTGACATGCTTAACGTTAAACCGTTTTTCCTATGAAAAGAGGCTGGAGATTCCGTTCAACAAGATGAGGAAATTGTGACAATCGAAACTGACAAGGTTAAATATTCGTTTATTTCATATAATTCTTGTATAAAAAGCAGTTGTGATGACATACCCATTGATTTTCTTTTTATATAAGGTCGATGCTCCAGTTAATTCCCCATATACTGGAAAGATACTCGAAATATTTGCAAATGAGCAAGATAACGTAGTTGTGGGCCAAGATCTTTGCAAAGTGGAGTTGGGGGATGCTGCGGCTTCTGGTATGTTTTTATTATTCTTATTAGCTTAGTTAATTTTGTCTTAATATGCTTACACGTCAATATTAGAACCGGAAGCGGACACTTCGAAAGAAGATTCTCCAAAACAAGTACCAGAACCAGAAACAAAACAAAAAGAAGATACTCCTCCTCCTCCTCCTTCTCCTCCTCCTCCTCCTCCAGGTATATTTAATTTAAAATCTATTACCATATATCTCTTATGTAAACCAATGCTCTTTTATAGAACCAGAACCTACCACAACTTCAAAACCAACCACGCCTCCAACACCACAACCTTCCGCTTCCTCAACACCACCACCTTCCGCACCTCCAACACCACCACCTTTCGAATCTCAAGCACCACCACCTTCTGCACCTTCAAAACCTTCACAACCTTCGAGCAAGGCAAAAGGAGAATCTCTTTACGGTGCAAGAGAAGAACGTGAGGTATTACTATCTAGAATCTTCGTGTATCTGATAGATCAAGCGAAAGGGGTTAACGTGTTATTAATAGTGAGTTTTTGTTGCTTAGGTTAAGATGAACAGGATGCGCTTGAGAATTGCCGAACGTTTGAAAGAATCACAAAATACTGCTGCCTCATTGACAACTTTCAACGAAATTGATATGACGTATGCATTCACATCAAACCTATTATAAGTTATTTCATACGATAAATAAAAAATTTAAATCAATAAACGAATAACATTTAGCAATATTATTGAGCTTCGTAATACTTACAAGGACGCAGTTCTCAAGAAACATGGTGTCAAACTTGGATTTATGTCCGCATTTGTAAAGGCATCCACTATTGCACTCCAGGAAGTTCCAGCTGTCAATGCATCTATAGCAGAATCCGGTGATACCATCATATACAGGGACTATGTTGATATGAGCGTTGCAGTTGCAACACCGAAAGGTCTTGTGACTCCTGTGATTCGCAATGCCCACCTATTATCATTTGTAGAAATTGAAAAGGCTATTGCTGAATTAGGCCAAAAAGTATGTTTCTATTCGTTAAATTGTCAATATTTAAAGTATCCTTAAATAACTTTTTTTTTAGGCTCGAGATGGGAAAATGACCATCGAAGATATGGCTGGGGGTTCTTTCACCATTTCTAATGGAGGTGTATTCGGATCACTTCTTGGAACTCCAATTATTAACCTGCCACAAAGCGCGATATTGGGGATGCATGCCACGAAGGACCGTCCCGTCGCAATTAATGGCAAGGTATATATATATATATATATATATATATATGAATGTTCACTTTTTTTTGTCTTATGCCTAATGATTAATTTCAACATTATAATTCAAACCAGATTGAAATTCGACCAATGATGTACATTGCTTTAACCTATGATCACCGTCTGATTGATGGCCGTGAAGCTGTAACATTTTTGAAAACAGTCAAAGAACAGGTTGAAGATCCTCGCCGCCTTTTGTTAAACGTTTAAAAATACTAATTCGAATTTATAGCCACGAATGACTTAATCCCTTGTAATAAAATTGTATCGAAATCAAATGTAGATAATCTATGGAACATTTCGGTTTTGTCTTGTGAATTTATTATTCTTAATGATATAGCTTGTAAATGAGTAAAGAAATTGTTATATATCACACCGTTGATTACTTGTATCAACCGACCGAATGCACGTGATACTAAAGTAAACTAGTCCCACTGATCCGATCAATATATATATACCGACATACCGAAAAAAAATTATCACTAAAAATAATTAGATATTTCACGATTCTGAATTTTCTATTGAAGTTTCGTTTTATTCTAGTTACTTTTAAAGCAATTACCAAGCCGTTGAGTCTGAATACCTCTTTATCATGTATTCCATGAGTTATTCAGAATTAAGTGCTTGTACATTTATGTGCAAAGTTTTATTTAAAGAATAATAATGTATGTTCGAAAATTGAATTTTTTCATAAAAGGAGAACGAGCGTTAAGGATTTGGGATAACAAACTACCGCACCGTACTTGTTAAAGATTCTCTTTATTCTCTTCACGTATAATACCCGGTATTTTGTGCGGAATTATTCATATTGCCATGTTATAATAAATTTGGCAAAAATTAAATATTTTGTTGTTTTTTTATTCTATTTTATTAGCAGCGGACAGATAAGAGTAGGGCCATGACTAAATTTATAATTGCTAATTCTTGTTTAAAAAAATTTACACAAAATTAGATATTTATTTTTTTAATAATTATATTGTAATAGCAAATTAATATAATTTTATAGAAATTTGGCTTTGGTAATAATGTTTTATCTAAAGATAATTTTTATATACTGTTTTTTAAATTGTATTGCAGACAAATTTGTTAATTTTAGTTATATATTATCTAAATAAAATATCTAATTTTAGACCCATTTTATTAATTTTGTTAAAAATTATTAAAAAACTTTAGATAATGAAGATTTAAAGTTTTTGTATTAAAATTTTTACTATCTCTTAAACTGTAGGCAATTCCAGGCAAATTTGCCTGAAAAATTGCTATAAATTTTTTTATGATTTACTTTTTTTAAAATTTAAAATATTTAAATAAAATTTTTTTTGGTAATATTTGAAAATAAGGATTATATTATAGTAATATTTAATTGAATAGGACTAGATGGTTCCCCATGCACTATGTGCTTCTTACTATAAAAATTGCTATTATCTCAAAATTTTACTAAAGTAACTCTTGTTGTGTAACTAATAAAAAATGCTCCTCCTACAATTTTATTCTAAAAAACTTTAACTTTAACCCTAACCCTAACTCTAACTCTAACCCTAATGTTAGTCTTTATTTTTGTTTACTATCAAAACTTAAAGAGGGCACAAAGTACATAGGAACACTATTTAGATTTTTTCTATTTAATTTTAGAGAAAATTACATATCAAAACCCAAATTTGAAAATAATTATAAATGAGAGCTCAACTTAAAAATACTATATTTATTTGTAAAGGTCTAATTTTTAAAAATATTACAAATACAAGCCCAAGTAATTTTGTATTGTATGAATTAGTGCCCATTGTGGCTTAAGCATATATTATCTTTAATTGTAAATATTAGTATTATATCAAATATATTATAAATTGGAATAATATTTACTTGAAGAAATAGTACCAGAAGACCAAAATACTTGCAAAAATACAATAAAAAAGGCTATAATATATAAACCTGTAATTGAAAACATAGGCAGAAAGAAAATTAATTTACTATATTTAATAAAATTGCATTTATATAAATGCTATATATCAAAAAATACATTAAAATATTTTGCTAATTAAATATATTAATTTTTTTTAATTTGTATAATTATTATTCTTTTTACTTATTTTAAAAAAAAAAAAATTAAACAAATAACATAAATGTTTATTACAAATAAAAATTAATAGTTATATATTATTTTTTTAACTACAACTTCATGTAGTTATAAAGTAAGATAAGTGATTGTTATACAACAATTCTGTAATTACATTAGAGTTTGTATTTGTAATATTTTCAAAAATTAGGTTTTTATAAATAAATATTTTTAAGTTGGGCTCTTATTTATAATTATTTTCAAATTTGGATTTTGGTGTATAATTTCCTCTTAATTTTATATTATAAAAAAAAAAGGTTAAGTTGTTTGTAAGCTAAAAACAGATAAATTTAAAAAAAATTTTAACTAAAAACATTATTTACAAATTTTTGACAAACTCTTTAAATATTAGTTTTAAATCTATAGTTTTTAATACAATATTGTAGTTTATATAAAAAATAACAACTTTTATTATTATATCTTTAATGATTTACTAATAAAAATTAGGACTTGTATTAAAAGCAAAAATTTTTTAAAAATATATAAAAATTTGAAAAATTTAAAGAAAAATTTTATAGTAAAATTTTTAAAGCAAGAGTTTTAAATTTTTATTATTTTAAAGATTTTTAGTAAAATTAAAAAAATTTTATAATAAAACTTATAAAATATGTTTTAAATAAAGCAATTACTATTTGTATATTAGTATATATATATGGAGAATTGTTAGATATATATTGTTGTTTCTTAAAATTTTAATTATGAAACTATCTTTTGGCTTTTAAAATTCTTAACAAAATTTTGGTATAAACTAACCTTCACCTCAATTTCAAACCTCACCCTTACTCTAGCTATAAGCAAAAGTTTAATTTTTTGTTTGTAAAAATTTTAATTTGTATAGTATACTATATATACAATAATACCTGTATTTATATATAGTATATGATTAGCTATTTTCTTTAAATAAAGTAATTTTATTTAAAAAATTATAAATATTTTTTAAAATTTTAGGCAAATTTGTCTAAAATAGTGATTGAATCCGTCTAACTCAGGTGATCTATTAGGCTGATTTAAATAAACTAATAGGTATTTTCAACTAATCACTAATATTTGTTTATATCAGGTAAAATAGAATTTATATATCTTATTTTACCTAATATAAACAAATATTAGTAATTGGCTAGGAATACTCGTAAGTCTACCCAAATCAGTCCAATAGGTTATCTGGGTTAGATAGGTCTAATTACTAGTCTAAAATATAGTTTAAAAGATAAAATTTTAAATTTTATATACTATATATATGTTTTTAAAGATCTAATCTAATAAATAATATATATATATATTTTTTTTGATATTAAGGTGACCTCTTTGGTCTGGGGAACTTTTTATTAGAGTATAGATGAAGTTTTATATATAATTACAACGATAGTACATCAAGCCACACGTGCACCTTTTGAGTGCCTATTTAAGTAGTCCACCCGAAGGTTCTATACTATCTGCCGTACCTGTGCTCCAACTAGGGGAGTACTCATTTAAACCATCTGGTTCTAACTACCTCCATCAGCCCTCTAACCAATAGATTTCCTTACTATTTATACGCTAGATTTTGGTATCACCCAATATGGATTTCGCACCCTACCTTAGAACACTTAACTATCCTCGAGGTAAACCTAAC